ACGACATATCTGCAGAAAATACCGCCTTGGTTTTCTTAGATCGTTGGGTGTCAAACTACGGAGTACCAACAACGATTACAACAGACCGAGGAGCTCAATTTCAATCAACTCTGTTTCGAGAGTTTACGAGACTCCTTGGAGTGAACCATATCTCCACTACAGCTTATCATCCTGCAGCGAATGGTCTGGTGGAACGTTTCCATCGACAACTGTAAAGCTCATTAATGGCACAAGCTGACTCATCTAAGTGGAGTGAACACCTACCGTTAGTTCTTCTCAGTATCCGATCAACTGTCAAAGAAGATTTGGGATGTACACCAGCTCAACTTGTGTATGGTACTACCCTCACATTGCCTGGCCAGTTAGTTCCGTCTAATGATTCAACTGAAGTAAATATCTCCGACTTCACCAACCGCCTTACCCAGAAAATGCTCCAGCTTCGACCAGTAGCCCCTCGCCAATCACTTCAGAAAGCTCAAGTTAATAAGAATCTACTCACTTGCAGATTTGTATTTGTTCGCGTCGACGCCATTATAAAAGTTTTGCAACATCCATATGAAGGTCCTTTTCTAGTACTTAAACGCACAGATAAATACTTCACGCTGAATAAACATGGTAAACCTGAGACTGTTTCTATCGATCGTCTTAAACCAGCGTACACCGACAGCGAATATGAAACACTAGCAACGCCGGCACCAGTAAACAACCAGAAAGTCAGTGCAACTCCAACTCTCCCGCTCTTCACACTTCCCCCTGTACAGACACGCAGTGGACGGCAGATCTGTAAACCTGCCCGCTATGTTCATTTTGTTGACTGACATTAAAAAAAAAGTACGTAACCTCATTTAGACATACTTATTATTATTGTTGTCGACATTCATTTCATTATAACCATAAATATTTACTAGTATTATTGTTTACTGTTCGTTAACTGTGCTGCAAGCACACGCATTCACCAAGTATTTGTATATATCTATTTATATATGAATTTTGCAAATGCTAACGAACATTTCATGGTTTATTATGTACATAAATTTTTTCTTTAAAATTATAGCAAGTTTCGACATTTTTTTCTTCTAAATTCCTGCTTGCATGTGCTAAACTTTATACAACACGGATGCATTCCGTACACTCTGATCTAATTTTGTATCCTTATTGTTGTTGATGTTATTTTTTTTGTTACCCTTATTGTTGACATTACCCATTATTTATATTGCTTATATTCATGTGATCGTCCACGAGGACAGTACTGATGGTCCTCCGGACCTCTAAGAGGGGGAGCCCTGTGGAGTCCTCAAAAATAAACTTATCCAAATTTTACTATTATGTAAAAAATGAACATATTGTACACTACTTTGTTTTAACCAAAAACTCTGTACTTTGAACTTCCCTCGAGTTTTAAATAAATATAGAATTCTGCCTTCGACTCTCCGTCTTCTCCACCATCTCAACTGCCGTCGATCAATTATAACAACCTGCTTTCTATCTCGAATTTTTGCAGGATCACCGTGGCCTCCTCCTACGCACTTTGGTCGACCTCCGGCAACGTCAACTCTGGAGAATTAGAACTGGAGCAGTCTTCCCGCAGCACTTCTGGAATCCATTACGTTTATTGTGGAATTTGGATCTTTGTAAACCCAAGTAACAAAACTTTAATATATTCTTCCCGTAAACTCAATTGATTTGGTATTTTGTTTTCTATTTGAATTTGGGTTAATAAGCTAACAGAGCAAAAGGTCCAACACAGTCGTTAGTCTCCCTAAAGTGTCATGGAGGATGTTCCAGATGCTATTAACCACCACTCCCAAATTCTTCACAATCGTCTAAAATCAGCTATAATCAAGAGATTTATATTCACTGGGTAACAAAAATTGTATTAACTCTTCAGAGGCGTGCAACTTAGGAATCTTGAGCCCACACGAATGCCTCATTTAATGAAACAGCCAGTTGCAGATTAAAAACTGGAAGCGGTGTTCTTCAAGCAACTGCAGATGCAATAGTTGCGCCAGGGAGTGTACGGGGTTGTCGCACTCTTCTGAAAATCAACACTAGCGAAGTTGATAGGTACGCTGACAAAGCTGTCAAGGCTACAAGACTGTTCACGAGTATTTCAACAGCCTTATTTACTAACTCTTATATTCAGAAGGACCTCCCTTCAACCAGTGAGCCGTCCAGTCTCGATATTAGACAGATGTATGAAGAGTTGCTTAGTTCCAGGAAATAACTTACATCTTGAAGTCCTTCTCGCAATCGCGCGCCTCGCTATCATAACAAGTCTTCTCCACGTTTAGGAAACAGACTTTCGGAGTCGAGAAGCTCACATCCGTATATTTGATGGATGCCGATGGATAAAAATATTATTCATCCCTGAGCTTCTGACACTAGCCAGTTGGGAAAGATGTGAGCCGGCGCCAGGTGGTGACTAAAGTCGCTGGCGGAATACTTATAGGTTGCCTCTTTTATGTCACAGATAGCAAGTCTCGGATACGCTTCCTGGTTGGCACCGAGCTAGAGTAATTCCACTTTCAACATAAGAGCACCTGTGGCCAACCTCTCTACAACTACTTGTAGCCAGTAGTTCGCCCATCTTAGAATTTAACATTGTATTTCACTGTTCTTTCTGCTGGGTCTTCACTGTGGCCAATGTGACCACCCGTATTATTGGTGTGGATCTCTCGCAGTACGATCAGTTACTAGCATATGCCTCTAGGAAAAGCCAGCTGACTCTTTCATACAAATGGCCTGTCATTTCATGCACGGGACCTCTCCCAACTCGGTGTATCCGTCCTTTGACACCCAAAGTTCCTACTCTTCTATGGTCAAACCTTTTGCAGACTTTCTTAAGCTTAACTGTAGTGCCTTCTGTGTAATACTTAATATCACTCATCGCGTCACTACGGCATACCCACCTGTTTTCACTAGGCCACAGGTTTTTCAAAAGAGAAACTCCAGATTGTCAAGTCTAAGTTTGAATTCATGCTGCAAATCTGGATGGTCAGAGTGTCCAACAGTTCGTGGTCTTCATTTCTACAGACGGCGTCTAAAATCAGTGTCACGGCCTTGTGATGACTACAATACTGCGCCGTACGTTTAACTTTTGCGTTACATTTTAGCGTGATTCGCTATGTATATATATATATAGCACATATCGGCTTGTTACAACAAGCAACACACACAAAATATGGCATTCAGTCACACGGCTCACAAAAAAGCTGCAACCGTCGAGCTACCGAGTCACTACCACCTACTGTAGCTGGAGCTGATAGCTAAAATATGTTGACAACTATTAGCAGTATCGCCTCTACGAACTCAGCACCTGATCCTAACATAGACCTTCTCACTGTACTATATTTAAGTGTCATCAAACCTCAGGTGCCAAGTCCAGATTCAACACTTACCTCAGAAATAGAACGACTTAAGTTGTCTGTAAAAGAGCTGAAAGCTGAGATGTGGGATATAAGGTGTAGTAAGGCTATGACTGCAGGATGTTCAGAAAATCTGGCCAGCATATCTGGACTATCAGCACAGATTAGTGACACAGAATCGCAGGTCTATGAACTAACACCTCTGAGCACCCCGATCAGAACCATAAACACTGATGAACTAGGCACAGAATTGGTAACCAAGGTAAACATCTTGATAAATTTCATCACAACAGAAGTTATCAAAAGAGTAGATACAAGACTAAGTGTGATAGTCAACAATATATCAGATAATGAGGTATTAAAAACAGTTCGAAGCATCTTACTTAGGGCGGAGAATATGACTAACTCCCAAACAAAGTGCCACAGGATGAAGGAGAATCAGCACAACCTATACGCCTTCAGTCTGAAACTCAGACAGAGGCTAAGAAATTCACCAATACACAACGTATCCTATTACAGGACACGAGCTACAAACAAATGAAAGTGGTAGCTAATAAGACAGTGATTGAAAGGCGTGGTTACAATCACCTTACTAAACCTGATGGTGAGAAGGGCGAGACACCACGAGTCACCAAAGTAGATAAACCCACGGCCAACACGGTAGAACTCATAGCCTCCCTCTTTCAAATCTCACAGAAGTAGCTCCACAAAACACGACACCAACTGAGACGCTAGTGAATTATAATCTTACTTCTAAATCAACCCCTCCGCTATCCACCATGGATCTAGATATGTCTCTGAATAGCCCTGAGACAGAAATCGATGCATCTCATAAGTCGACAACATCCTCTCCTAGCCATAACGTGAAAGTTCAAATGGAATTCGGTAACAAAACATGCCGAAATACACCACTCGTAACGAAAAAACCCTACATCCCAAAATCCTAAGAAGAATCCTCGCTGTAAGGTAAACAATATATAAAATTATGCTAACAGTCACATCGAAAGCAGGAATTAGGCCATACGGCCTACGGAAAATAACGACAGAACATGCTTACATAATATGGTAGGTCACAATAAAGCCCACGCAGCTGCCAAAATAATGCATGTTGCTGTCCTACAGATAGGAGCGATTCACATTTGTGACCACTACCAAATCTGCTGATCAGCATGCGCCACCCTCCCTCCTTTTTTGACATTACCCTAAAGTTTGCAGCTGACAATGATGATCGATGCGCATGATTGTTTGCCAAAATCCTAATCAGTATTTTAAAAGAAAGAGACTACCATATATTCGGTCAGTTTAGAATATATTAGTTTTCAACAGACCAATGCTATTTCTTGTATAGTTATAACTTGGAAATCTACAGTCACAAAGTCAATCGTAATAACGTGAACAGCTGCAATGATACGGATGTTAGGGTAACTGATTAGTGGGCGTGATAGGTCACTCAGTCTGGCGAAATTATGTCCTCGATAATAGTATATGGTTTTTTTTAAATATCACTACAGAACTGAGTATATGGATTTCATAGATAAGTAAAGTTAGGAAAGGTAACACAGACTTCGTTCACCCAGTTAGTTCACTGAAAGCCTCGATAAATCTTTACTGTTTGGTAGTTATAGCGTGAATATAGTTCTGGAAGACTGCCTTCCACATTTCTTAGAAATTGAAACACGGATTTTTCTTTTACTCAAAGACTATTTAAAGCTAATTGCGAAGCGCGTTGTGCAACTTATACGTTACTTCACTCCAACCACATCATGGATACGAGTACCCCAGCTGGAACTGCACAAGATCCCAATACCAATGGTTCTAACTTAACAGACGAAGAAAAAGCCAGGCTACAGGTTGAACTATCTCAGGTAATTCTATTCACCACACCAGGCATGTAACAGACTGAAGTCAAAGCTGAAAGAACAAACAGTTATTCTTGTTCTTTCTGCAAAAATATGCAGAAGTTTCTTTTCGGCTGCAAACAGCCAAAAATACATAGGCTTACGGAGACAGGAACATTTAACTTAATTTTACCATACAAAATTTAATGTAAGAGTTAATTTTGGGCAATATGTAGCGTATTATTAAATGCTCAATAAGTTTTTTAGGTGTAACACAGAGAGGCAATATTTATAAGTGAATGATGTGTATTGTTCATAATCATGTCAATGCACACATTTGATTTCTCAACTTTTTCAATACGGATTTACTCCCTAGTTCTTTTATTGCAATTTTCCGTATATCCGGACTGAATGTTATCGTATTGGATATATGAATAATTCAGCTAAAAAAGAGAAGGGATTAAGGTTATTTAAAGCAAGTCAGGAATTTGTGTGAAAATATTGGTGTTATTCTAGGCGAAAAATTGTACTAGAAACATCATCCACTTACTAATCGTTTCTGTTACATCAAATAAACTTAGCTAATACAGTAAACGCATCTAGGATGCCACAGGGAAGTTAGATTTCCATGTGGGTGTGGAACTTAGTAACTCGAATTTGTTAGTGTTTGTAGTGCTCACTATGGCTTCGGAAACCGAAAGGGATCATAAGGATTCATTTAACTTTTCCATGTAACAATAGTGTCTGTTTGACAACTTAATATACTCTAGTTGGAAAGCCAAACTAGATTGAAAACTTACGATGTAATGCAAACGTGCCGAACACTTCATAGGTTGCCCAGTGTCAGCCGGGCGCCCGAAGTCAACGTTAGCTGGGTTGTGGGAAATAACAAAAAGTGTAATGTGATAACAAGGAACAAACTAATCATTTATAATAAGTCATTTGATTGGAATAACACGAAACACTGCTAATAATGAAGTATGGTGATGCGATATTTGCCAAGTCATTGTTGAAATTGATTTCACACACTCCTGCTCCCTATAGATCTTTCTAATTTTAGCCAACTTAAAATTCACTCTCATCCTGATATTTTCCTGAATACAGGGCCAATTTGATAAACATTAGTCATTGTCTGGGTTAACACTACGCCATTTTCTAAACACACTCCAGAACACTTTTAGGTGTGATAATGTATTTCGGAGTACTTTTTACTTCAGAGATTTTAAGTGAAGCATTGCTTGTTTACTTGTAAGTAAATCTAACTGCAACTAACAGCATCAATGTTGGATTAAAAATTCTTGACAATTCTTGAAGTGTTACCTACAATGACTAGTACAAGCAAAGATTTCGTTTGAAGTCCACCAAATTGTTCTGAATCCTTGAGATTTAGGCTAAAGTGCTAATGCCAAATCGTTCAAGTACGATCTACTTTAGACACTTCATCGTATAGACTGATTGTTGCATTGGTCTCAGATATTTCATACAAGTTATTGTCTTGGAGGTTCCATGTAATTATACGTTTTTATATGATTTATTCGGTCAGTAGAGAAAAGCCTCTCTGGTGATTCTTCCTATTGAAATGTATTATCAGTCAGAGACAATCGACATTTAAGCGCGACTTCAGTGATAAATCTTTCATATAACTTAAACTATTTAAGTGCTGATCATGTGCTCTGTATTACTTCAGACTCATTAGTTAAATGTACCTTCATTTCAATGTAATGATATTTCCATTAACATTAGAGTCCAACACCTGTTCTTTCGAATATCAGAGCCTTAAAATTCAAGATATGGTAACTGTATTATCCATACGAGCAGTTGATAGAAGTCAAGTGTAAAGTCATATTCGAACAATTTGTCTAACACCTTTATCTCATTTTTTATTTTGTAGGTTGAAGAGGAAATTCGTCTACTTCAAGAAACTCTTGCTGTGAAGTTGCGTCGGTGTAATGAGATAAAGAAGAGTCTTGGTTATACCTCACTTTCAACTTTGCAACATGATCTCATGGAAGGCATTCACAAGTTAGAGGATACAGAAGCGTAAGATATGTATATATAAGCTCATGTTTGGGTGCGCTTTTGTTAAACTTTCTGGGCTGTTGGAGGGCATTCAAACCTTTATACTAATGTGGGACAATGGTTTTCTTGATACAGGCCGTGCTCAAATCATTTCCAGTGGCTAATAACAATAGTTTTGCTTTCCCTCACTCAATAAATTAAGGTGTATAAATTAGTCTGATTAGTACATAATTTTTCTATTATATTCAGATAAGATTGCAGAAATGTCATGCACAAAAGTACCTTTTGAGTGTCATTTAGGTTTTATAACTTTTCATACACATTACCATTAGGTGCAATGTCATATTCTCGATAAGCTAGACAACTATTATCATTACTCCTAAATAATCTTTATCACTACCAGTCGAAAATAAATATAGGGCTATCTGGCATAGGAAAATAAAGGCATTTCATGAACCTGAGAATTTAGGTATGTTAACTGATATCTTCTTTAGTCACTAACTAAAAGCATCCTTTCAAGTTTATAGGATACTGTCAGATTAAATAGATACACATTTTACTCGTCTACCTATTAGCCATTGAACAACTGGTCCACATTCTTATCTGTTTTATCACAGATCCAGTGTAAGTTACCATTAATCCACCATCGTATATCCAGGTAGTTGTGTGGTTGCTGGTGGAGGTGTGACAGATGAGGTCTCTAACGCACCTCTTCATACCCTTATTGTGTTAAATTTGAGTTTAAATAATATGTATAATAAATACTACTATTAATGAAAAGTCATCAAGTTGCATTTGTGATAAGTACCTGTAATGTAAGTGTAGAACTTGGGCACTGTAGTAGAATGTAATTTCATATTACATAAGCTTACTTTAATAATCACACAGTGATTCAGTATTGGCGACTGGATGGCGTTTCGACCATAAATTGTTGCTCAAAGAATCAAGATTCGCAAATCGCCGTATTTCTAACATTCGATGCTTGCAAAATGTTATTATTACTAAGTATTTTCGTATACGCCTTCCAGTTAAAACAATAATAGTAAAAGCAGCGGGAAAACACCTCAGTAGACCCTATTTAAGAGAGGTGATCCATAGAGTCATCAAGAAGCGCCTGTAGTCTTTAAGATATTAATTTGCAGTTATATGGTGCTTTGTGTTGTTTGTTCATCTTAGTATTATATTCACGAACTGTAGCAATTTGAAATTGTTCACCTTTCTGCACAGTTATCAGTTCACTTCGACTTTTTATCTGCTGGGCTTAGTTCTAACAACCAACAACTTTATTGTTAGTCAAATTTTAATATTACATAACTATTTAAGTTATTTTTGCACTTCCTGTCTACTAATTTTTATTGGACCGAATGTTCCGTCTCTGTCGGCTCTTAGTGCGCACGCATAGATAGTGTCTGAGGATTAACATGATTTCATTTGGTGCATTGCGACTTACAGTAGGATCCAGGAGGCGTATTTCGTCCTATTTGGGACTCATCACCTAGATGTACTTTCAATTCCTTGGGAATGATGGTGTTCTCACCGGGATTCGAACTCAGAACCCATCCGCTAAATCATTGCATGACTGTTTTAACTCATCAAGCCTAGAGAAGCTGTCTTTTCGTGCAGAAAAGTTAATGTGATTGTTTCTTCTCACTCTTATTCTCTGGCCATTTTGTCCGTTCAGAATAATTTGCCATTTCTGTTGTTTTTTTACTGCTATATAGGTATATTAAAACTACTGAACTTATAAGCAAAGCAAAGGATAAAACAGTAACTGTAGCACAAGACGCTAAAGAAAAAGTGGAGTCAACTATCTCTGCCATTCGGTAGGTTGTCGTCATGCGATACCTTTTACCTATTTATCTTTGATATTGTTTTAGAAATTCAGAGGTTGTTAAGTCAATAAATGATAGAGTTGGCACAGCTTATTCAACTGTTAAGGTGAGTTATTTTTGATGGTTGTCTATGTATGTGTTTTTACAGAATGGGGAAGTATCTTGAGCTATTGTTTTGATGTTTGACTATAGATTTTCTAATTCTTCTCCACTTAACTCGTTCTCACTGACCAAGTAATATCATAAAGTCTTACATATTACAACAGAATGGATACTGAACAAAGAATACTCTTTTCGATAACTTCATCATCAGGCTCTACAGTTATATATACATTATAGTGAATGGATGAATGAATTAGTGTTATGAACAACATTAATGTTGTTTAAATAACATCGAATCAATAATATTGATAGATTATAGCTCAATAGCATCAACATAAAAATAAGCTGAATGTCAGAAAAATTAGGAAAGATAATATTGCAGATTCATGAATTTATAGTCTCTACTGAAGGCCAGGGCAGTAGTAGGGGCTGGACTTGCTTCTTCTGAACACAGAGCACTGGTTGTTTGAAACGAATAGCAATAGCCTCTGCTGTTTAGAGCATGCGGTGCTTCGATGATTTTGGCAATTTACTAGGCACCCGGTAGCTTAATGAACGAAAAATCAATTCATTGCTTATTATATTCGTACACTAATTTCCAATAATTGTTTCGTTTGTACAGCTGCTAATCATTGGTTTAGGCACCTAAATTTCAGTCATTTTTTATCACTTCAATTGTGCCTCATTCTGTCGTTTGGGAAGCCATTTAGTATAATTATCGCTCATACATTACGCATAACTTATTTCATGTATATGTAGGTCCAACCAGTTGTTAACTAACATCTCATTTGTAGTTCTTATCGTTTAATTCTTAACTTTTATATGATTAGATCAACTAACAAATAAGATGACTTCTTTCTCGCTTATCATCGAATTCTACAACTCTTCTGACTAATAAATCATATAATTAGGATTCAGTAACCTGGAACAGATTTCAAATGTGTCATACTATAAGCTACACTTGTTATATTAAAGTTGATGGTATTATTCAGTTTCCCATACTAAAACAGGTAGAATGGGACTGGAATCGGTGACACCCATTGCTTGAGGGTCGAGTACTCAAATAGATTAAATCAAGTGGAATAAGAATTTAAGTTCAAAGCCTTCTCCTTCTTTTCTTTATGACATGAAAAACACTAACTTCAGTAATTGTATGAATACTGATTAGAAAGTAAAAGTGCCTTTTTTGTAACTTGACAGTCATAAACTTTATCCTTAACAATGTTATGATGGAACAACCAAACTATCTGTGGCTCTTTAGGTCTTGGTAACTTCCTGATTATTGAATTCTCACAAGCTCCATAATTTAATAATGGTGTTATACTTATTTATGCTGATATATAACTTGGTTATGTTATTCACCTAAGTCCTTAGAATGCTAGATAGAGTTTAGAACAATAGTGGCATTGTCCTGCGCTCCCACTGAGCTCTGATTGGTGTTGATAACTAGACAGTGTATATCTGTGCATGGAAGTCGCTTGTGTGTAGCGACCAGCTGTTGAATGATTTGGGGTGTACCTGTAGTAAGTTATTGTAAGAGAGTGTATAGAACACCATACTTAAGCTTGATTCTGTAAAGCGATCAATCAGTCAGCATGACGATATGAAGAAGAGAAAAAGTATAAGTATGAAGTATGTATTGACAATTCAGCAAACCTATAAAAAGGCATTTTTCTGATACACAAAAAACGACAAGACGAGATAATCTAGAAATCTTGAAGTGTTTTTGGCTTGCGGCGATTTGATTGGTTTCAAGTTAGATCATGGGTCGATATCAATTAGGGGTTCTAGTGAGAAGTCATGACTAGTCAGGTACAACAAGTCGGATGTGATGGGAAATGCTCGACGATGACATTGTTTGGCGGTGGTGCTATGCATCGCGAATTAGCGAAAGCTGGAATTCATGGGCTCACTATAATCCCTCCCAGTGACCAAATGGTCAATAAGCTCTCCGTGTGGCATGCATATCCTGTACTTTATTCCTTGCGGTGGGGTGGTGGATGCATGCTAATGAAGAATAGAAACTAGGCCGAAACAGCTGTTTAGTACTCCTTGCTAGTTTTCAGTGATTCTCTAACTGAAGTCATCTCGTGATATACCTTAATACTAATCTATAGGTCATGAATAGTATGAAGAATTTGACCAGATATCTTGAATTTTGCAGTATGTATAAGAATTGTATTTCATTTTTAGTTCGTAGTTCATGAAATAAAACTCAGCTTGTGTGTCGTCTTAAATGAAAACAAAAGTTCTTTAATTAGTATATTTTTATTATTCTTAGTGTATTAAATAAATTGTTTAGCTTATTGGATTTAGGGTTTAGTTAATTAAACAGTGTATTGTAGACAAGTGAAATAAGGTCATTTATAATATTTTCATCTTACCTATACGCTTCGTTTTTTGGTAATTAGCTCCTTATGCTTCAGAATATACAAAAAGTTTTATTTTCACTTATATTATAAGCCTATAGTGTTAAGCGTCGGTAACTTTTATGGTTGGTATTAATATAAGCATTATTACTGTTTGTCGTTATTGCCAGTGCCTTATAGAGATGTAGTGATTTTTTTACGTGAGGAGAGTTTAAGTGCACCTATCTTTGCGTTTGTTTATGCGTTCGAATGCATTGTCTAGACAGTGAGTCCTTATTAGTTAACCGTTTCATCTTCCGAAAATCCTGTTGGAATCCAGTTATCTGGGACAAGTCCCTCTTTTACAAAGCTATGAGTCACACTTGTTTGTGGTGGGGACTCATATTCTCATCCATCAATTCCTCAGGCTGAAGTAGGTGGGGCGAGATTTGAAACCCTGGACCCACCGACTGAAATTTGATTGCATAAACCAGTGAGCATGGGGAAGAGTAGTGGTTCAGTGATAGAATACTTGCCAACCACGCTTTGGGCTGGGGGTTTGATTCTCTGCTGATTCACTCTTAAACTTAGCTGTTTAACAGGAGGGAGGGCGTGTCGCTAGCAAACTCACTCCTAGTATGAAAAAACACTACCGCTACTGAAACTTTAAGCCTTATGTTGTTGTACTCGGGACGTGACGGAGTGAGATGAAAAAACCCGGCGAGTCACACGTCTACTTTGAAATTCACTGAAATGACTTGAATTTTGATACAGATGAATTTTATTTTAAATCTCGGTAATGATAAAAAAACACGTTAACATATTTAAATCCTTTGGATTTGTTTGTTGTTTTCATAGTCCAAAGAATTTCACTGTAGATTAGCAATATTTTATTGAGATGTGTGTTTTTTCATACTTAAAATCATTAAATTAAACTTAGTTCATGTTTGATAGACAACGTTAGAGTATGTTTAGTGTTTTTATTCGTGTTTTATCCATGTGTGTGTGCTCGTGTGTATGTATGTATGGATGTATGAAATGTTGACAACAATTTTATTTTATTATTATTTCATAATCACCTTTCAACCTAATTTTTGTGTATAATTGTATATCAGGAGTTTTATAATTTCAATATTATCTATGTATAATATTTTAGATACTTTGTTCGGAAAATTTCATCCATATACCAGCTATTACATGGTATCCATTGAAGAAAACAGATTAGTGTGCGTCTCAAATACTATGTTTCCGTGTAATCACCCTCTGTGTATGTGTGTGTATATTAATGGCACGTAATCTGTCTATACACGTATATATATATATATATATATATATATATATATACTAATAATACGCACGTGTATGTGTACGTATGAGTTTATACGTCGTCTGTGCTATTTGTTGTAACATTATGTTTTGATTTTATTTATTTTCTTCATAGAATTACATGAAAATAGATATTAATTGTAGATTAAGTTTATATAATTATAGCTTCATCCGTTTCCTTACTGTTCATTAATTAAGATTAATAAACAGGATATATGTATATTTAGTGTAACCGCCAGCTTAGTGTCACAGGCGAGTAACAGTCGTCTTGCCTAACTTGCTGGACCATTGGGTTAGGTCCCAGTGACTGAATGGTCTAGAAACTCGCCCCCAAACGGGAAGGTCCTGGGTTATTATTTATTTATTTTATTTTATTATTTTGATTACAGCTTGATGCCACACCGTATTTTTAGGTACAGGTATGGAATTTTCAGCATGGATATCGGTAGCCCAAAATTTGCAGGCCGGCCATAGATATCGGGTGTGCACCGGCAAGGGGTCGAACCCCGGACCATGTGCATGGTCGGCGAGAGTCCTCACCCCGGTGGGTACATTCAGATGAAGAGTCCCAGAATAGGACAAAAAGCTGTCCAGTACTCCCGTTTGGTTTTCTCAATGGTTCTCTAACTGACGTCAGCTCGTGATTAATCTCGTGACCAATCAAATCCCTGCAAACCTACACTAGATAATAAAAAAGATGGTTAAATATTTATATAGTTTGGCTTTTTTTATTGTGTTAACTGTGATTGCGTGCATGTGAAACTGTTGGCCGATTGATTATTAAAATGGAGTATTCCCTACCTTCCTTGCAATTCTAATTGTAACAAAGATTCCAACCTATATATTAATAATAATATTAATAACAAGGGCTTTATTTGAAACAATATTTTCTATACATTGTGGAGGTGTAGACTTTGTGACCGTGTGAGACCCACGAGGCTCTTAGAAACAATGGCGTGAAACTGTTGGTAATATGTGTCAGTGTTGTGCAAATGCATTCACTCTTTATGATTCCCTAGATCCATTATAAATCCTCATCATTTCCCATGGAATTAGTCTTCCACCTATAGATTTTCACTTAGTATGGTTTCTATAATCCAATGTAAGATCGGAATTTGAGCACTGGTAGAGTATAGTTAGTTGTATGTTCTTTTTCTACTATTATGTGTAGCAGAATGAACTTGTAGAATTGAGTTCTGTGTAAAAATTTATGTTGATACTAGACAAGAATTAAGTGTTGTCACAGACCTTTTTTATTGTTGGCATTATTAAGTAGAAGTCGACTTTAAGAACCTTGATTATTGCATATCATTCCATTGAATCATTAGCAGCAATTTGTTGAGATGCTCTTTAGAGGCTTTATAATACTAGAATATCGTATATTCTTCAAGCATTTACTGCTTTACAAATGTAAGTGGTGACTGCTTAAAGTTGTTAATTTCAAATATATTAAACTGCAAATTACATAATATTAAATTTATAGGACGAATGTTGGCTAGGGAAGAAAATTCAATCGATGCAGTTGCTAGTTCTCATGGACTACAGTGACCAGGGTATGCGTTGTATACTCCTAGCTACCACTTCTTTTTGTGCTATAAGATTAGCTATAAAAATAGCTAGGAGACAGTGGATCGAGATTTGGTGCCAAGTCATGAAATCATTCACTATTTTTGTCTCTGATGCTTTGAAATCTGGATTATTTGGGCTAAGATTAAATTGGTTTCAAGTTTAACCACCAACTGATATCAGTGAGAGAACCATTGAAAACTAGGGAGTAGTGGTCACCAGTTTCGTCCTAGTTTCGACCCCTTCTGTAGTACGCAACCAGGACTTTCAGTTTATGTGGCGAGCCAGTTGATCTTTCAATTACTGGGATGGAATCCAATAGCCTTGTCATACCAACAGTTGAAAAATCAATTCCATACTCGTTAGTGACTTACTTCTGGATGAAGATGTCTGGAGTTCTAATGAGAGGTCGTGATTAATCGGTTCCATTAGGTCAGGTGGGAAAAATACTTACCGATGACATTGGTTGGTGGTGGCTCTAAAATCGCGGATTCACAGCAGTTAAAATTCATGGATTGTTGGATTGTGTCTCAGTGGCTGATGAGCTCGATGAGCTGGCCTCCTCATAACTTGAAAGTCTTGGGTCCCATTTCTTGCTTTGGGTTTGATAGGTGCGTACTGATGAAGAGTCCAAAGCTAGAGTGAAAATGTGGTCTTGTACTGCCGGTTGTTAATAGTCCTCTAACTGATATCAATCCGTGATCAAACCAGAATTTAATCAATTGTATACAAACTAGCACTTGGAAAGTAAAGATTGTTTGTTGTAAAAATAAACAAGTATTTCTTTACTTTTGGTGACATAATTTAAAGTTGAGTCAAGTGACTCATGTTTGTACTCACTCTTTTTTATCCTTGAAATTCTAAATATTTTCATTTTTATTTATTTATTTACAGCTAACTTATATTTATCAATTATGCTATTGATTTGTTTCTCTTAACTTTCTTATGGTATAGCATTTCTAAAATTGTAACATCAGAAAGAGATGATGCACTGTAGTGTGCATAATTCCGAATTGACATGTCTGTTATATTATTTGATGATAAGAAGCGCTAATATATATATTACTTGCGGACTTCTGACATCTTAAAAGCATAGTAGTAGTTTTGAGCAGAAAGGGGGTTGTTTTTAAATTATTATATACGTAAGCATTTTGTTTCACAAGCTATTATACGTATGACTATTAATTAGGCTTAGTGTATAACATTCCATTTCATACCCTTATAATTTATCATATTTAAACTAAGATTGGTTGCAGACTATCTGACTTCAATCGTCATTCTTTTTACAAAACTTTTAGCATACAGTTGTGATATTTCAAAGCACCTTAGCATGTGTTTTATAGCAAAATATAAATTACCTTTAAAATCACCTTAACACTTGAAAACAGGAGCTTTCACTGGAAATGGTTGTGATGGAAGAAAGATTGTCAGCTTACGAATGGGTTATAGGTGTCTTACTTCAACATCGTGTTTGATTCATGTCATATGTCTTGACCTAGTCCAAAAAGTGACGTTAAAGCAAAAATGACTAAATATGACAGAAAATCGAATGTAGTATTTTGTATTCCATTTTTCGAGTTGATCACGGATTGATATCAGTTAGAGAACCATTGAAAATCAGTAAGGAGTACTGGACAGCTGTTTTATCCTAGTTCGGGAAGTTCGAGAGAAAGTCGGTCAATGAGGTTGTGAAGCTGGATCGGCTGAGATGGCTAGGATATGTGTTACGTATGCCTAGCCATTGCATTCCCCGATGGTTTGTGTTAGGTGACATATAATCACGTTGGAAAAGAGCTAGTGAGCGGTCAAACGGAAACTTGGAATTAGTCCATGAAATCTCTGACAGTTAATTTGACCCATGTATGGAAGTGTAGGCTTCCTGATTGGGGTTGTCTGAATGGTAAAAATCAATGGCTGGAGACAATTGGTGGTATGGCTGTAAATCTTTCTGTGATAGATCAGATGCATTCACTCTTTATGGTATGTTATACTCATTAAATCCTATTGGTTTTCTGTGCTACTATTCTTTCTGCCTCACATTTCTGCCTATTATATTTGTTTTAAATCCATTTTTCCCCTTTCGTCTTCATTTGTGTGCTACATGATCTGTGGCGACTCGAACTGATGCACTTCTGTGGAAATTTCTACTCTGAATCTTAGTGGGTTAGTCACTTGTGACTCTATATGAATTATCTTCTTTCTGAATTTCAACCAATATATTAAGTGACTGGTAATTTATCTTGTAAAACTTGTTAGTAAGTGATGACAGAACAACTAATTATGATAAAATAATTATCTAGTACCCCTTGATTTTCATCTGAAAATGAAAGAAATCCTTTCTGTCTTTTTTCAATCAACCTCATTAGCCTATTTGCGTGTTGCTTTTTTGTTTTTGTGTGTGTTAGTGTCATGCGTACTTTTTAATTATTGTCACTACTGTATGTTGTATAAAATATGTGTAGCTAATCATTGTGTTTTATATATACGTGTATTATATGTTATATATTATCAAAAAGCCAATGCATAGATCATTCATTTCTGATCTTAAATATCGATGTTAACTCATTTGACGATGATTCTGTGTTCTACCTCACCCTGTGACTCCGATCTAAACAGTTAGTCTAGCTGTTTTCAATGTTCATTTTAGAAGAAAAGAGAAGATTTGTAGGCCAGTCAGTCACGTGGTGGTTGCATTTTCTCAGCTGGTTGATTTAAATGCGAAGCTTCTATTGACCTTCCTAGACAGCATTTTCAGAGCAGGATTTATTATGAAGTGAAGTTATTTGAAGTCTCCTTGAATGATATAATTAATATTTTTTAAAAAGCCAATATAATGGAAATTATATTGGTCAAACGGTGCATCCTTTTCGACTGCGATTTCCTAAATTAGTTGTCAATGGAAATGAGATGTATTCTTTCATATATCGATGCATGTGTAGACTACTATGGACAACAGTTCAGCTAGGAAAATTTAGAAATTTTAAACAGTAGATACACTTAATATGTCAGAGTATTCCTAGAAACGTAGTATTCAGATGAATGAGAAGCGATTAACAAATACAATACAATAGGGCAAATTTATCAACTGATAAAGAATAAATCAATAAAAATGATCAATAAAGATGTAAATTAATAACCAATCACAATAGAGGTTGTCAGGAAAAACAGTTGTATGACTCATGAGGAGAATTCAATGAAGTTTACTCCATATTAAGGTTTGCTCTGCAGATGTTGTGTAGAAGAATGACTAAATCTGTACAGTTAGATTACCGAACTCAGGAAACACAACCACATTGGAATTAGAGCTAGCTCATTAGGGTCTCATGCTTCGAATTCCATTTGCTAGATTCCGTTACGAACTAACGTCAATTAGAGAGATGATTGAAAACTAAGGAGTACTGGACAGCTGTTTCTTCCTATCTCTAAACTCTTCATTAGTGCTTAACCACAACTTCGTTGGAGATCAAATCTGGGATCTTCAGGGTTGGTCTCGTAACTTGTCAGGGTGCCGAGTTCGATCCCCAATGAAGTTGTGGGTGGTGTGCACGGTCAAAGATTCCCGAAATGGGAAGAACCAGCTGTCCAGTGCTCTCTGGTTTTCTAACTAAGGTTAGTTCGTGATGGAATCTAACAATTAAAACTCATCCCGCCTAGATTCATCACATGATTTGTTGTTGTTGTTATTGTTTGACTGGTGTTAATTCACGATGAAAATGCTTTCTTTGTTATGAAAAATGATACATATATATAATTTATTAACTGTTAACTGAGTTGTCAATCACACTTTTTTGATGTTATTTCACTCTCCAGGATGTTATAATTCATTCCACGTATGGACATGCACCAGATGACGATAGCGCTAACGATAACAATAATAATAATGAAAGCAATAAACAATCATAAGCAGCCATACTGCTAAGTTGTTTGTGCATGCGTGTGTGTATGTGTGAGTGTAACAAAGAATCTGTTGATCTTAACTGGCCTTTCATACTACTCTTGTGTATAAAACTTCATTTGAAATGATAAATAATATCAGTGATTATTATTACGTAACTGTTAATTTATCTGACTTTTTGATTTTTGATTTACAGTTACTTTTGATTTAAATTTATTTCATTTGCTGTTACTTTGGTGATCATATTTTGAATGTAAAAATAATATGCTTATTCTGTTATTTTGTTTTTTTTTTGTGTATGTGTATGTGAAATAACTATGAAATATAATTTCAGTTATATACATCTTTTCCCATCACTACATCGGTAAATGTTTGTTTCTGTCGTTTAGAGAATCACAGTAAACTATATAAAATCGGCTTTTGCCATCCACCACTATTCACGGTGGTTGCAGAGACTTACTGATCAACAGTCGTTCGAGTAACTTTCACTCCTCGTCATATTCGGAGCCTCTATCAGTTTGGATGAAGCAACAGAAATCCACTGTCTGTCTGTTTTCGACATAGAACTTTGCACATATGTGCGGCAGTTCAAGTCGCCACAATCTATGTAGCACGCAAAGCAAGAGAAGGAAGTAGAAGAAATGCATAATATAGACAGTAAACAGAGGTGTGAGACAAAGGAATAGTAATAACGGAGAACAAAACAGTTTAATTGGAAATCATAAGTCACAAGGAGTGGATGCATCTGCGCCACTGAGAGCGACTTTGAGTCATGTCACCAATTGTTTCCAACCATTGGTTTTTACCGTCCCGAGGACCCCAACCAGGAAGTCTACATCTTCCTACATGGCTTAGACTAACTGTTGTGGATTTCATTGACTGGTGCCATGTTTTGGTTTGACCGCCGCTAGCTCTTTTTCAGCCTGACCCAATGTCAGCTAACATTGCCCGTCGAGGAAGGCGATGACTAGGCATAGGTAACATATGTCCTAACCATCTCAGTTGATGTAATTTCACAGTCTCGTCGACTGATTTCCCCTCCTTACCTAGCACTCGACGTCTAACCTCAATATTGCTCACCTAATTATACCACTTCACATGGGAGATAGAACGTAGACACCTATGATTGAAGACAGCTAATCTTTTCATGTCCTCCACTCTCAGTGGCCAGGTCTCACAGCCATAAAGGAGGACGGAGAGTACTGATGAGTAATACACACGCCCTTTGGTCGATAACCAGCCGGATATCACGTCTACGCCAGAGACGGCGTAAACTGACATATGCGAAACTAGCCCTCTGTATCCGTGCTGAGATTTCGTCAGAGATCAACCCGTTGGCACTGGCTGATGGTACTTCCCAAATAAGTGAAGCGATCAACGTGCTCTACCACTTCACTCCCTATTTCTAAACTAGGAGTCAGTGTAGTCCAGTCCTGTAACATCATCTTACATTTGGCGGGAGCGAATCGCATGCCAAACATTCGTAGATTGCAGCTCAAGGTTTCCAGAAGACTCTGCATTTTGTCAGCATCCTCGCCTAGATGGACTATATCGTCCGCATATTCTAAGTCAGCGAGATTATTCCCTGGTGGCAAGTCAATCCCTGAGTCGCTGAAGTGAGTTGGGGTTAAGTCCATTAATACATCTATGGTGAAGCTGAATAGAAATGGGGATAATGGGCATCCTTGACGGACGCCACTAGTCTTCACCACTTCAGATGACAACTCGCCGTAAGCCCACAGAAATCCGCTAGCATTTACTAACCTTTGTTTTTGCTTTACCGACAGCATTTACTACAATTTCTACAAATGAATGAATATTATACGAGGTTTTCCTTAGGATAAGTCTTTCTATCAGTCGCAGATAGGCGTTCACTTATTTCTTCCCTAAATAAAAACATAAGGGTGTATCAGCTTCATAGGTGCCTGTTTTTTATGTTCTTCTAGTTGTAGACAAACACGTGGATGAACTAGAGTGTGATTGAAGTTAGTACAGTGGTTCTCTCCATCAATATCCTCTTCCTATATGGTCTTTTTGAGTCCATCGTTGTCTTGGCATGGTCTGTCTTTATGTTTGAAATGATCAATGATCAGGAACCGGTAATTATCTAAACAGGAGTGTAAGAGACGACGACTGTTGTCCGTTTGTTTGTTGTAGTTCATTGCTATAGACTTGCACTTTCCAGTGTATGAATCGTGGCTTCGAACCACACTCAATCTTTTTAGGTTTAAGCAAGCTGTGTAGTATTACACGATGAATTACGTGGGCCTGCTTAAATCACTGGGCTACCAGAATTCCCATGCATCAAAATGCGTATACTCTTCTTCATTTCTTAATGTTTTATTAATCATGCAATTATGTCAGGTGGTCACTATATGAACTCGTGCACATTAGTTAGGATTAACTTTCAAAAACTGCTGTGAAATTCCTGAAGGAAAATTGTACGGAATTGTTTCTCTCTTCACATACCACAACACTGCGTCACATGATATACTTCAGATTATTACTTTGCATGTAAATCCTTTACGAAGACGAGATGTTTAGGAACTCACTAGGCTGAAAAATTCTTTATTGTGTTCACAAATCGTTTGAAATATAGCTTTATTGTTAATATGAATAGTTGATTGTGAGAACTATTACGATGTACTCTGTTACTGAATAAAAGTGTTTCATATTCAACTAGCAGACAAGTCAGCGTTGGTCCTTGCACAGAACTTCATCAGATTCAGTTGTCAGATTTCAAAAAATCATACAAAATGTTGGATTTGAAATTAGGATGATACTATGACGGAAGATTAAAAAAATAAGAGGCCAATGCGTCTATGCAATCGTGTACGATTTTGAGCCATGCCACAAAGGTTGTTCATCCACTGATTCTTAGAAGCTTGAGAACCGTTGGGCGATGGATAGGCATATGAACTACATAACCGTATAAGTCAACGAAGAGTTATCGGTCAACTCACTTTCTTAGTCTACACCTGATGTGAATAAGTGATTAAAGGCATCCATGGTCGGAACTGTAGATATTTCATGTATCCTGTTTTCAGTGTTTAAGCTTCACAGCCGTCGACACATACCAACGTTTCATTGTCAAGCCTGAAGTTGGCGCGGACCAATTTGGTGGTATCATATTACATATTACAGACAAATTGTATGCCAGTATATTTGATTATTATTGATTGGTCACTGAGGTATGAGTAATGCTGTGTTGTCTAGCTGTTATTTCTGAAGGATCTAAGTGGTATTGGTTGAAGAAACAATATTAGGTGTTCGATTATGTCCGACCTCCATTGTATTCAAAATCAAATATACTAGCATATAAATGGAGTGACAATGAGATCGCCGGTATCCCTAGTAGTAGAAGACGTAATCATAGGTAGTTCGGGAGGTAAAACTCTTAGAATGTTTAATCCCACTCCTAGGTTATGATGAAGATATGCAAACGACACATTCTCTGTGATAAAACCTGAACATAACCCTGAGTTCTTCATACATATAAATTCAGTAGTAGATAGAATCCAGTTCACTTTTGAGCAGGATGATGAGTTAGGTACTAACATATTTACGAAGTCGGCATGTTCGGATAGGCACCTTTGACATTAAATCACCCTACTCAGAATTGGTAAGAGTAGGTTTAGTTAAATGCTTGTGTATTTGAGGCAGGAGCCTGATAAGTAAGCTAGGAGATTTAAATAATGAAACGAAACAAACAAAGAAAACATTACTAGTGAGTAACTACTCGCCAGATTTCATTAAAAGTGTGTTAAAAACCATAAGAAAAATCGGAGTAGTAATGAAAATAATGAAACAAGGCACAAATAATAAAGAGTTTAAAGACTTGATAGGACCGCTATGCGAGGAAGGAACATCAAGAGCTTTATACGGAGTTCTTATTAAGGTGTCATTTAAATCAGCCATCCCATTCGTAGACAAACTCTGCCGCCTAAAAGACCTGATAGATGTAATCAGGGAGAGAATATGTAATTTACAAAATACCATGTACCAATCTGGAAATCTTCGTCACTCAGCATCAACAACAATATTCGGATTTTCAATACAAACGTCAAGTCAGTTCTTCTATACGGATCAGTTTTCGCCGTCTCTGGCGTAGACGCGATGTCCGACTATCGACCAAAGGGCGTGTGTACTGCTCAACAGTCCACTCCGTCCTCCTTTATGGCTGTGAGACCTGGCCATTGAGAGCAGAAGGCATGAAAAGATTAGCTGTCTTCGATCATAGGTGTCTGCGTTCTATCTCCCGCGTGAAGTGGTGTGATAAGGTGAGCAATATTGAGGTTAGGCGTCGAGTGCTAGGTAAGGTGGGGAAATCAATCGATGAAACGGTGAAATTACTTCGACTGAGATGGTTAGGACATGTGTTACGTATGCCTAGTCATCGCCTTCCTCGACGGGCAATGTTAGCTGATATAGGGTCAGGCTGGAAAAGAGCTAGCGGCGGTCAAACGAAAACATGGCACCAGTCAATGAAATCCACAACGGTTAGTCTAAGCCACGTAGGAAGATGTAGACTTCCTGGTTGGGGTCCTCGGGATGGTAAAAACCAATGGTTGGAAACAATTGGTGACATGGCTCAAAATCGTTCTCAGTGGCGCAGATGCATCCACTCCTTGTGACTTATGATTTCCAATTAAACTGTTTTGTTCTCCGATATTACTATTCTCTTGTCTCACACCTCTGTTTACTGTCTATATTATTATGCATTTCTTCTACTTTCTTCTCTTGCTTTGTGTGCTACAAACGGGGAGTGTGGCGACTTGAACTGCAGCACATATGTGCAAAGTTCTATGTCGAAGACCGACCGACCTATACGGATCAGAAGCTTGGCGAGTCACAAAGAACATTTCCAACAGGTTGCAGACCTTTATTAACAGCTGTCTTCGCTGTATACTGAAGATCAGATGGCCGGAAAGAATCACCAATGAGAAACTATGTGAACAAACAAAACAAGAACCAATCGCCCAACAAATATGCAGGAGAAAGTGGAGATGGATTGGACACTCTTTGAGGAGGCCGCTGGGTGACATCGCGCTTCAGGCCATAGCTTGAGTGAAACCCGAAAGGGAAGCGGCGAGTGAGACGTCCAAGGGTGACATGGAGGAGATCGTGCGAAAAGGAGTTGAAACAGTATGGAATAACATGGATGCAAGTGAAAAGCACAGCAGAAGACAGAAGCAAGTGGAGACGTGTAGTTGAAGCCCTATGTTCCACTACGAACCCAAGGGAACAATGATAATAATGTACTGATTGTGAGGTCAAACTAGTAGGTCGCTCTCAGTTAGGTAGTCGGAAGATAGGAAATTAACTAGATATAAAATGACTAACCCCATTAAGTTAAGTA